GTGGCTTGAAAAACTTTCAATGGAAATGGATACGCATGATTACCAGCAGGCTTCCAGATTATGCAATTAATCCTAACACCTCCAGCCCTGACTTCAGAAGCAGTCTCTGCAAAATAGTTCTCAAAGCAAAATTACAACCTCCTGCAGCACAGGAAGATGCTGAATATGGAGTAGTTCACAGAGCCCAGAGGTACTAGTGAAAGGTTATTTAAGGCTTTTAGTACACTGAGAAAAAGAACACATTCTTGGAGCTGTTAAAACATATTAAAGAACTACTCAGATCATAACAATAAATATTAAACATCAACCATCAGATGCCATATTGGATTAAAGCCAAATTCATGAATCATCTAATTATCTTACATTCTCCCTTCCATCAAGACTGTTGATTGAAGTATTCCATGAGACTGTCTTCAAACAAGCTCTACATTTAAGCCAAACTATTAAAAATATTGAAATAAATAGCTATGACAAGCCCAATAGGAATAATATTAAGATTAATTCTAGTTTCATTTCCCTATGTATAATGCAATTAATTGCCTTATTTTATTTAAAACTTTGCTTTGAAGTTCCAATTTTTATATGTTCATTTGAATAAAGAAACAGTGATTTCATAGTCGTTGCCTTTTTAAGATTTTAAATTAAATATGCTTCCACATACAAAAGAATGGATCTGGACCTCTGCCATGCACCATATACAAAAATTAATAATGGATCAAAGGCCTACATGTATAAGTTAAAACTATAAAACATTCAGAAGGAAATAAAGGTGAAAATTTGTATGATCTTGGATTAGATGATGGTTTTTTAGCTATGACACCAAAAACATGTGCCATCAAAACAAACAGATAAACTGGACTTTGTCAAAAACTTCTGTCAAATGACATTATCAAGAAAGTGAAAAGACAGTCCATAAAATGAGAAAAAAAAAAAAAACATTTGCAAAGTATATATCTGTTAAGGGGCTTGTATCCAAAAAATATCAAGAACTCTTATAACTCAAGAATTAAAAAGCAACCCAATTAAAAAGTGTTCAAAGAAAAGGAACAGTCATATCTCGAAGAACATATACAAGTGGCTAATAAGTACATGAAAAGATGCTCAACATCAGTAGTCATTAGGAATACGCAAATAAAAGATACATCATTTCACATCCACTAGCAATATAATTTTAAAAAACAGAAAATAATAAGCATTGATGACATTGTAAAGAAATTAGAATATTCATATACTGCTAGTGGAAATGTAAAACGGGGAAACTACTGTGGAAAAATGTTTGGCAGTTCCTCAAAAACTTAAACATAGAATCACCATATAACCCAGCAATTCCCAGGTATCTAACAGAGAGCAATGAAAATGCATGTTCATGTAAAAACTTGTATATCAATGTTCACAGTAGCACTATTCATAATAGCCAAAAAGTGGAAACATCCCGAATGGCCATCAGCTGATGAATGGGTAGACAATATGTAATAAATTCATAGATGGAACATTATTCAGTCATAAAAAGAAATGAAGTATGTCACATGCTACAACACAGATGAACCTTGAAAGCATTATACTAATTGGAAAAAATTAGACACAAAAGGTCACATATTATATGATTCTATTTATGTGAAATGTCCAGAATAGGCAAATCCTTAGGGATCAAAAGTGGGTTAGTGACTGCCACAAAATGGGAAAAGGAGGGAATTGAGACTAACTACTACTAGGTATGGAGGAGTATCTTATTAGGGAGACTGAAATGTTCTGGAAGCAGACAGTAGAGATGGTTGCGCAACATAGTGAGTATACCAAAACCCACTAAGTGTACAATTTAAAATGGTGAGTTTCATGTTACGTGAGGTATATCACCATAAAATATTTTATATATGCTTAACTATGCCATTTTGGCAAGTTTAAGTTTTTTTAATAGAGAAAAAAATTGTTTAGAATAATCAAAAAAATTCTATTTTACATTTACCAAATTAGAATACTCTAAAAAATACTATATTGTGTCAGAAAAAATTTTAATTATGATTAAGCAGTCTCTACATTGTTATACTTCTTAGATTATCATACTTAACACCTGAAACCTTCACACTCATAGTAAGACACAAGGCCTCAATTACCTGTATATCTGAGGGAGAAATCCTTTCTCCAAATAAGTAGGATACCAAATGATTTATAGGAAAAGTTGTGTACATTTATTCACAGTGAACAATAGTGTCATAAACCACAGACCACCTCAGTCTTTTTGGTTCATAAGATTTCTAAATAAATCAGGAAATACCAAGGAGCACTTAACTGACAGAAGTAATGATCTCCTTCAGCATGAAGATACAAATAGAGCAACTGGGCCTTGAGGAAGTAAACATTCTCTAGAATTCTCAATTACAGAGGGAACAATTTCTTAGAAGAAATGGGCATTTCATAGCTTCGAGGACATTGATAATTTATGACAAATAGATCACAATGTATATTTGAACGAGGTACATGCTTTGTGGGAAAGGCACTTCAATTCATTTCAGCTAAAAGCAGTTTGTTAACACCAAACTTTTATCTATATCAGTCACTGTCAATTTGGTAAATTTGCTTAAAAATAAAGTCCATTTTTAAATGGAGAAGATAACATGTAAATAACTTCAAATTTTAACAAGTTAAGATTTGTACCATTAATTCATTAAGATTGTGCATATTATACCTGACATAATTTTAGGATAGCCAACCATGTGTAACTTCATCATATTGTACTAATTGGATTTCTTTTGTTTCTATATGTAAATGAGCGTGTCTTTACATACATAAAGGAAAAAAACTCCCTCACCCTCTGATCAGCCCTGATTTATCAAAACAGGCTCCATTAGAGCCAAAAGCTGAAGTTCTGATAACTATGACCTTCAAAGTGATGTATGTGACATGAAGTCTCAGAACCACTGCAGTCCTCCTAGACATCTGTCTTGAGGGCTCAAAATTCTTAGGCATCCCAGGTTGTCAGGAAAACAAACAAACATTGGGAGGATTACCCCATTTCTACTATTATAATATTATATTATTTTTCTGTCACTAGCTAACATTTGAAGCTCTAAATTCCACTCTCCTAATTTTACACCAAAGAATAAAGCTGAAGATAACCTTGGGTTTATAATAGGCCTTCGTTCTCAAGTATTTAAAAGAGTTGACTAAAGGAAAATTGGGCAGGGGAAGCACCTTTCATAAATCAGCTTACTGATAAACTGCTACTAGTTGCTGGCACAAAGGCCTCTGACTAAGTGAAATAATGGTGAGTTTATGACAACTTAATGTCATGTGTTTCACCGACTTTTTCAATGCTAAATAATTTTATGAAGTGCTAACTGAGGTATGTGAACATTTCTTTTTAAGAACTGATTTTCTTGGGATGCCTGGGTAGCTCAGTCGGTTGAGCATCTGCCTTCGGCTCAGGTCATGATCCCAGGGTCCTGGGATCAAGCCCCACCTTGGGCTCCCTGCTAAGCGGGGAGTCTGCTTCTCCCTCTGCCCCTCCCCCCTGCTCGTGATCTCTCTCTCTCTCTCTAATAAATAAATAAAATCTTTAAAAAAAAACTGATTTTCTTTTTTTTGAAGAACACACTTGAACATTTCCTTTCAAGAACATTTTTTCTTTTTTAAAAAACTTTTTAAATATTTCTTTTCAAGAACTCTTTTTCTTTTCTTCTAAGTCATCAAAACCTGTCCTCATAGTCTCTAGAATATATCATAGATTCCTAATCAAGCCTCCTATACTTTATTTTGAATGTCAAATGGTAATAAACCAAGTCCTATAAACTACTATTTATCTGTAAAGTTATAAATCATTAACTTAAGAAAACAAGATTAGGATAGGGCCTTAAAAGAGACTTACTCTACCATGTAGTTTTTGCCTAAAATTATTTTTTTTGTATTTGCTATTTAATGCCAGGGAAGATGGTCTGCATTACTTCACAGCCCCTCTCTATTGCCATAGAACACTTCTGGAGGTTGGAAGTGGTAATAGCAACATCAAAGGCTAACGCTGAGGTAGAAAATCTTTTATATGAAAATATAATTTTCTTCTTTTTTATTAATTAAAATATCTGATGCTTTGCCTCAATTGTGTATAAAAAAGTGTTGCTTGAGTGGAATATATATGGGAACATGTGTTACATATTAAAAAGGAATTACAGCAAATAAATCTGAAATGTGAATGGACATTTAACTAATCTATGGTTAGGAAACACCTTGTTTTTCTAAATAAGACTAGGTCACGTTATTTTAAATAGCTGAACTTTTAAAGAGTAAGAAATAACATTAGGATATTATGTAGAAACTCGGAAAGATTGGGGCAGAGCACATAATTATATTTGTAGTGAATATTGTTGTTTTGACCATCATTCATTATCATTCTAAAGCTCTGTTGTGCATGAGGGAGAGCTAGGAAAAAAAGTTTATTAATTTAGTCTTAAAGGTAATGAAGTAAGAAAAATACTTTAAAACTTTACTATATAGAGGGAAAAAGAATATACTTTATCTTGCTTGGCTATAGCTGCTGTTACTGGGGATTTGTAATATTTTGTGCAGCACCGTGACAATGCCAAACCCAAATTTCAAATAGACTTCAATTTAATAATTAAAATGTTCTCAAAAATATGAACACACATATAAACTGATACATTTTAAAAATACATATACAATAGTCCCTATTATAAAAATATGTTTCACTGGAAAAAAACCTGTCTATACTCTTCTTCTAATAAAGCCTCAAAATAACTAAAATGTTTCCTATAATTATTTATATGTAGTACAGAAATTCCAGAATACAAGTTTATTTCTTTCCTCCCTTTATCAGCATTACATGGAATTTACTATATACATGTATGAACAGATTCATATGCATATAAAAATTATATTATGTACTTAGTTTTCTATTTGTAAGGACAAATTTACATATGATATTCATTGTTTATCAGAAAGAAGCTAGAAAATGATTATTTTCAGTAGCACATAGAGTTCATCCTACTTACTGTTGAAGAGCCCAGTGCCGATTTTGGAGACCTAATTATTCCAGCAATTGAATGACGAATAGACTCAAATTTGGATAGCCTCTCCTTTCTTTCCTGGAGAGATTAAGAAAGAAGACTTCAGCAATAGTAAACTAGTTTATACACAGTTATGCTGGGCATTTAGGTATTTATCCACAGCTAATCACATATTCCAACTAAATAAAATGCAACCTTCCTGACATTAAAGATGACAAATAATCAAATGCATATAAACTCTATAGTATTTTGGTCTCTTAATAAATGTCTTGATTTGGGGGAAAAATAAGAAAGAAATAAAAATTCGTAAGATGAGAGAAAAGAAGAAATGCAAAGGAAATTCATGGGAAAGCAAGTATTAACATGCAGGAGAAAAAAAGAAAAGACACAAGCTATAAGGAGCCAGTCTAACACAGATTCCAGATAGCACTGTAGTCGTGAGGGATTTTCAAGGAAAAAATAATAGGGAAAAATCAGGAGGAGAACTATACTGAACACATTTTTTTAAATAGTGAATTCCACTTAAGTAGCTAGGAAATTTCCCAAAGATTCACATGATCATGATGACAATGATGACAACAATGCCAGCAGAGGAAGACCACAAAAAAGTAAAATAAGGGGGTGGTGGTAGAACTCCACTAAGGAAAGTCAATCCAGATTGCCACTCGCTTTAGGATGTACATTTCCAAGTATCATATATCACAATCGAAGGAAACTTTTCCTTAAAATTTCATATCTTTAAATCCATTTAACAAATGCAAATGAAGGGCTAGGTAAGAGGGTAGAAACCAAGAGAAAGTAGAACAAAAATGAAACCTAGAATGCAATAAAGAAGGACACGTGGGGATTTGTAATGGAAGCACTGGTCAATTTTCCAATAATGACTACATTTCAACTGTTCAGCAGCAGCAGACAAAAGAACTCGAGATCCTATTGCCATGTGCTGTATTTCCATATGTCTTCCCACAGTAGTGATGCTCAATTTTACTTATCAGTGGAAAATAGGTAAAGCAGGCCACAGATAACATCATTTGTTTCCTTTCTCTCTAATATGTAGGGTATGGGTCTCCAGTAAATGCAGACATTTTTAGCCATATGCTCTCTGAAAAACACTGTAGTTTCAGAAATTCAACTTCTGTCTCTCCAATTGCCTACTCCCACTTTATCTACTTTTCATTCTAATGGTTGCAGTAGTAATATTCTTATCATTCTACAAACATATGCACATTAATAATTTAAAGTAATCTTATAATAACCTAACAGAACAAATGACCTCAACTTCCTTTTCATCATCATCACTTACATTACTAACTTGCTTATGATTCCATCCAACACTATACCTCATTTTGGTCATTTATAAAATGAAAAAATTAATACAAACCTTCTTCAGAGCACACTTACAAGTTACTGCACATGATTAAAAATTAACAGGTTAAAAGCAGGTACATATTTAATAAAACTTACTTTAAAAAATAAATCTTTACTGTAATACAAATGGTCATCACCTTAGGAATGTGAGCATTACATTCTCTAGGCTTAATCCTGGCTGTAGCTTCACTTTACTTTCTAGTAAAAATCCCTGTACTGAGTCACAAGAAGCACTGAAGGAAAAACAGCCTTGAACTACTGAAAGAATATAGTGACCTCTCTTTAATGCATATCCATCTTCAACTTGGGCATTTTGGGTTTTTTAAAAATCTAATTTGGTGGGGGGGCTGGGTGGGGGGTGCTGGGTGGCTCTGTCCATTAAGCATCTGTCTTCAGCTCAGGTCATGATCCCAGGGTCCTGGCACTGAGCCCCACGTCAGGCTCCCTGCTCAGTGGGGAGCCTGCTTCTCCCTCTCCCTCTGCTCCTCTCTCTCAATAAATAATCTTAAAAAAAAATAAAAATCTAAATCTGGTTCTTGAGAAGTCTCCTGAAAAGAAATGTTTGGGAAGGTAAAACCCAATAAAAGGTATAGCCAGAATATGGAGAACAGAAGAGTGGGGAGTAAGGCATACACAGCAGTTGTATATTATATTATCAAATATATGATAATGGTAACACATGTATATACAGCCATATATTTATATACAGTATACTTATAGTATGTAAGATGTTTACACATACTTATATTATTTATAGTTATAATATTATAGTAAAATGTTTTTATATAATAACAAAATTACATATAGCACACATACCAGAAAACACTGCAGTGGCTACAGTTTTCTATTTCCCAGCCCAATGTACCCACTTCTTTTTTTTTTTTCAAGATTTTATTTACTTATTTGAGAGAGAGAATGAGATAGAGAGCATGAGAGGGGGTAGGGTCAGAGGGAGAAGCAGACTCCCCGCTGAGCAGGGAGCCCGATGTGGGACTCGATCCCGGGACTCCAGGATCATGACCTGAGCTGAAGGCAGTCGCCTAACCAACTGAGCAACCCAGGCGCCCCCAATGTACCCACTTCTTCCCCTGGAAAACTTCTCCCTGACTCTGAGTGGCCGTGGAGGTGGCAGTGACATTAGCAGAAGCAGTGATACAACTGTGGATCTTGCGGCTGCTACTACTGACAGGAAGATGAGATGAGAGTGCTAACTTCACCTGTTTGGCAATGAAAGCTTCACAAGGTAGCACCAAGCACCTCTGCTGCGAATTTATGCTTCTCCTCTGAGTTAACGCTCTTAAAATACTAGAGAGAGTATGGCGCCAATTTGTAAGAGTACCATGAGAACTGAAAAGCACTGAGAGGTTATGCAGAAAAGTAGAAAAATCAGGGGAGAGTTTTACGTATTAGAAAGTGTTTTATTTGTATCTGATTTAATAATATGCACTGAAATGACAAGAGTAATTTTCTTCAAGCTACATTTTGGGCATCAAACCTTATGACAGGAAAGAGAACCATTTCCCCCAAAACCTTTTGATAATATCAAAAAATATACCATCTTCTTAAGAAACCAACACTAGATAAGTCTAATGGGCAGGTCTGGGTGTGGGGTAAAGAAGACTTCAAAAGTGCTTCCTTTATATTAAGTGATGAAGCATAATAATCTGTGTGTTTGAGGGGATACAATTAGTGAAAAAAAGTACGCTTTCATTTAAAGTACTCTTTAAATAGGCTGATCTAAAAAAATGTATTATCACAAACACTAAGTAGACCTTAAGTTTCATAAAGGAATAATCAAATACAAATAAAGTTTATTAAGAAAATTTTGACCAGTGTCAGCTCCATTGGTGCCCAGATTTCCACAAATTGAACATGAAACTCACTTGCTAAAGCTGGTCTATGTAGCATTATATATCAGCTTTAAATTATGGTCTCATAATACTTCAGACTGTGCTGTATTCACTGACAGGTTGACTTTTGTATCAATGAATTAAATGGCTACTTTTAGAAATTAAAATTTAAAAAGCTTCCTTTTAATTACCATGGATACAATGACTAATCCTGCCTGTAAGGCAGCTGAGGCTGGTGATGATGGGCTCATTTTACCCCCCTTAAGCAATGACAAGGTAAAGAGCTTTCTCCAGATAACAAACACAGGGATTAGTGTGGGCAACAGGATGGCCCCTCACAGTGGAGGGACTTGGGGGCCAGAGAAGGGGAGAAAGGAGGGATGATGTTATGAAATAATAGTCTGATGAGATGCCCAGAAAAACGTTGTTAAGTGTAGCTGTAAATCTATCTTGAAAGAAAAGTTCTAGATGCACTATCACTTTCACAACTCATTCAACATTAACTAAAGGGTAGGGGCACCTGGGTGGCTCAGTTGGCTAAGCGTCCGACTCTTGGTTTCAGCTCAGGTCATGATCTCAGGATGGTGGGACCCAGCCCCGTGTCGGGCTCCGTGCTCAGCGGAGAGTCTACTTGATGATTCTCTCCCTCTTCCCCCTCCCCCTACTCTCTCTCTCTCAAAAAATAATCTTTAAAATAAAAAAATTGACTGAAGGGTCTCACAATTTCTGTCTCTGTCCCTCTATCTCTCTTTCCATAAATATATATATGGAGATGTTTCATAATATATATGAAACTGCTTCATAGTAATTAAAAGTTTTCTTATTATCAATTTATAAAAAAGAACTCTAAGAAATAATACCTAAACTACTTACAGTTCAAGTGAAACCATACCTATCAGGCTTTTTAATTACTCTTCACTAAAACTCCCAAATTGCAGTAAAAGAGACTATCAGGTCACCTCTACCCTCTGCTCACTGAAGCACAGGCAGATACAAAAGGCAGGAATCAAAGCTTTGCTGACTGGACTAAGCGACAAAAATCAGCAGCTCTTCCAAATGACAGCGTAACTAGATAGCGGAGTAAATTACTTTAACCAAAAAGCACATAATGGTTCTCAGAGCAAGGCTCCTAAAGGAGACACTAAGGTAGAAAAAATAAGGTTCTTGATGTCAGAAGGCATAACAAGAATGAATCTGAGCAAATTACTTCACTAGCTTGGCTCTCAGCTTCTCTATCAGTACACAGAAGGACACCAGACTAGACAAAACCTTCATCTCAAAATTTCTGTAACCATCGTCCAGCTCCCCAGTCATTTCATTGCATTGATCACTGGCAAAACTCCCACAGAAGAGTTCCACGTAGCAGGCTGGTCACCAGAGTTACTGCCGTTTGAGTGTTCAGCCGAATTCTACCTGAGGTGTCCTCAGAACTTGACCTCCAACAGAAAGGCGAACTACAGTGAAAGGTGTTACTGGGACACTTTTTACGCTAATAATAAGTCATTAAAACAAAACTAAATATTATTTCTCACAGACTTCGGTAAGTAATCTCAATCTAGTAACATTCTTAGAAGGAACAATGAAAGTGATGATTTGGCCCTGTGGGAACAGTCAGATACATATTCAGATCAGGAGGCAATAAGGATCAAGGAAAAGATAACAATATTCATGCTCAAGCTCCAGGCTGAGTGTCAAATATCTTTGAGACTACTTATGCAAAGCAGCCATGAAATTTGGAGGGATTTTGTGAGAAATAACTAGAGGGAAATTATAAACTCAGAGAAGACTGTCTCCTGAAAAAATTCTAGTGTATTGATAAATAATGTAAATGAAATACTGCAAATATTGATATGTCCTTCA